TCTCTCTCTGTGAAAAATAGTACCTTGTATAAAAGTTTGTCTCACATTCACTTTTGACTAACAATATAAAGTCTGATTCAGAATAAAGCTTTTTCTTGATAAGAATCGCCAATCGCTTTGTGTTTGCATGCAGTTCCGGGACAATAATGGAGTGAAAAAATAAAATAAATAACGTATAATCGCACATAACTGTCGCATTGTTTTACCTTTTAAAGTCAACATGAAAGTATTCACATGTCTGTAATGTGATGTTGAATCAGAATCAGAATAATCAATGAGAAATATGAAACATTATTATTATTTTTTTTTTAAATTTAATCTTGACTTTAAGGCAAAAAGCATGATGATAATAACAGATGGTGCTCCACTTTCACATGGTCACCTCTTGCCAACGTCTTGTCGGTGTGGCCGTGTGCTTCGGGCTGCACTAACACAATTGTCATGTGCGATAGCTGGAGGGAAAGAGAGAGAGAGAAATAGAGGGATAATGAGAGGAATCTCAGAGGAATCCGACATAAGAGCTCATCTCCAGTTTCCTCTGGTTCCTCTTCAGGCACAATAGAGATGAGAGAGTTTGTGTTCAGCATCGTTCGTACTGAATACATTAAGGAACCAACAATAACAAAAGCTAAGCATCTTCTGAGCCAAAGTATAGCTACTCATAATCTGTCAGAAAATGCCATCGAAACCCTTAAACAGAGCACTAGTTGAGGGACAAACATTTGTAGTGGTGTCTGAAACCATAGTGGACGTTATCGAGTGCACTCATTCAATCCCACAATGCACCGCAATAACGTGTGTACTATCAATTTTTTGCTCAACGGCTAGAGAATACCCATAATAATGCACTGTGAGCGCCGTGTGCCGAATTAATTCCCGTGTCTGACCAGAAGATGGCGCCACACCTGAATCATCCATCCATCCATTTTCCAAACCGCTGGTCCAATGTGGCTACAGCGTAATATCCAGCTATACATTCTGTTAATTGATTGAATTGTTTATTTAAAGGGTTAGTTCAACCAAAAATGAAAATTAAGTCGTTAATTACTCACCCCCATCCTGTACCAACCCCGTAAGACCTTTGTTCATCTTCGAAACACAAATGAAGATGTTTTTGATTAAATTTGAGAGCTGGATCACTGCTACATAGGCTGCCTAAGGGATCGAAACTTGACGGCCCAGAGAGTCAATGAAGAAAATGTTTAAATATACCATGTGACAACAGAGGCTCAAGTATAAGTTTATGAAGCGACGAGAATACTTTTTGTGCGGAAAACAAACAAAAATAACGACTTTATTCGACTATTCCTTTTCTTCCTTGTAGGCCTGAGACGAGAGTTCAAGAGATTTCCACGACACACGCGCGAGAAGTGCGTTTTTATTCTACGACTTCAGTTGTCGCGCATGTGTCGTGGAAATCTCTTGAACTCTCATCTCAGGCCTGCAAGGAAGAAAAGGAATAGTCGAATAAAGCCGTTATTTTTATTTTCAATTTATTTTTATTTTATAATTATTTTGTTTTTTCGATTTATTATACAATTTAAAACAGTATAATGGGTCTGTGCGTCATGTCTTAAAGCAACAGTAGCCTAATATACCGTCCAAGTAATGAAATAATTGTAAAAAATATCTATATGGCAGTTTTCCCCATGGTATCAATGTCAAAATTGTGGCCAGTGAAAATGCAGAGTGGCGAGTAACTTTGGAAAACCACTCGCCACAGTGGCTGGTGAGCAAAAAAGTGAATTTCAAGCCCTGCTGATGAGTCTTGACATTGACATGATGTGTCTTCCTACATCGTTGTTTAAGAAATGAAAAGCTACACTCTCCATCTCCGTCTTAGAAGAGCTTTTGCCAAAAATATAACATGCCAGACACATGATAACCATTGCAATAACAATCCAATCTCAAGCCTATTTAAATCCAAACAGCGAGTTTGCCTTGCAGTTAAATGCATGTCTGAATGTTTGTTTATGCGTTTCCTAATATGTTTGTCTTGATTTCTCACTGGTTTAGTTTTCCAAGCAATTTAGTTCGGGAAAATGTGCGCTGGAGATTCATGCACATGAATCAGGATTATATATTATGAAACTTAGTTGTTTACTTGTATCATTTGGTGTGTTTTTTTACCTCTCTTTTGTCTGTCTTGTACCTCAGATGTTAAATCTCGACATGAGAGCGACTCTGGCAGGAATACACTGAGGACGGCTGGTGCAAGCGTCCCACTGAGCTCCAAATGGTCCCAGATGAGCTGTGACAGGTTTGACGGGTGGTGTCATTGTGTCCAGGGGAGGGTTATTTTGGGGTTCTGGTGAGACTGTGTCCTCAGGCACCATTTTGCACATTTCTGTGCAAATCGATGGTGTTGCAACATAAATAAACGGCAGCTAATTAGACTCACGAAGCCCAGAGAACAACAGCACGGGAAACATCATGCTAATCTTTTGAGCTCAAGGGTTTATCGATAATTATTCATCAGTGGAGCAAAACTGCAGTAACAAAATAAGCATGTTGGATAATTGACACACACACGCGGTTTTTAATTGCAATCAGGTCTTCGGTTCATAAAGAATACCAGCCTTAGTCATTCTCAAAAGATGTTTGGCTTTCAGGTAATCACTTTAAAAATATGCTCATGCCGGAGTCATATTTCACCCTAAAATATAAGAAAATAATTTTTACATAAACATTATGGAGCCTGTTGTAAAGGCCATTGTGATATCTTGCATTGCAACAGTATTCCCATGATCATTGTCCTCTATAATCCTCATTTCTGTAATGTTATAAAAACACAGAGTTGTTATTGTTAACTTAAACTAAAATAAACTATTACAATTGTTTTTGTTAAGTGTAATAAAGCTAAAATTAATAAGTAAATATTAGATAAAAAAAAAAAAAATTTAGATAAGACAAATGAAATAAAATAAGTTTGAGTTGAAGTAATTAAAGTAATACTAATAAATGCTAAAAAAGTAATAAATACATACTAGTAAATACTAGCTAAATAATAACTACCAATATTTCTACTACTAATAATATACTAGTAAATACAAAAATACTGAAATTACTAAAACTTAAAAAAATAAATAATTAAAGCTAAAAAGAAATATTCAAATACTAATAATACTACACAATTTAGATAACATGATTTTTAGGCAAAGTATTATGATTCCTTGTATTTATTGTAATAAACTTACTATGATTAAAATAAAATAAAAATACTGCAATCCAGTTAAAAATAGCTGTATTACAGTAATGAAAATCACTATTGAGAATAATGGAAAAAACATTATTTTATTTTTTTTACAGTATTATGAATTTAGATTTAAATGCTTAATTGTCTTTTTTTTTGTTTAATTTGTCTTTTCAATGTCCTAGATAGACTTTTTTAATTTTTTTGTTGACTTTTTGTGACTGTATTTATCATTTATCCCTGTATTTCACTGATGTATGGATCGTGGAAAGTGTCAAAAACTGGCGTTTTAAAGAGCTGTACAAATGCTTGCGACACTTTGACATGCTCAGTTTATGAGCTGCTCCGTTGATAAATGATCTCACAGCATGACCAGCCCAAGTAAAGTCTTGCAAGGCCAACAGCAATCAATACACGCACATCCTCCTGTCCCAGTGTTACAGAGCTCACACCCAATACAGCAACATCTCATCTGAGCTGTTCGAGATGATTGGATTTTTCCTATTTAACATGGTGTCAATCACATTAGGAGAGGTCAATGCGTAAATCAAGCTTGAATTAGTTGCTCTGTGAGCGTGAAATACATTTCATTTGGGTGAGTGTCTTCAGCTGGGGGTTAATGGTCACTTGAGATAATTTTCTAATGGTTGAATATGTATGTGGAATATATGAGCTGTTGATATTCTTGGAGTTTATAAAATTAATAATAGTTTTGGACCTCTAGACAGCTGACATCCATCAAGAATACCAGTTTCAATGTGCGTTTTTGTGTTGTTTTTCAGTACAAATATGTAAAGATTCTTAAATCAAAATATATTTACTTGAGAAGGACAATTACTTAAGATATAAAGTCTTGGATCAATATGGAAAAATATCTGCCAATGGGTTCAAAAATAAACAGTGAATTTTTGCTACTCCATTGGCAGACCTTGTTTCTTGTTTTTAGCATAATGTCGCTTACGACAAGACAAGAAAATGTGTCTCGATGTAAGGATGTTAAGATATTTTTACTGGAAAACAACCATGGTCTGAATGAACATTTGGATATTTTCTTTTGATTATCAAACTATTGCAATACCTCCCTATGTTATGTCAAGTCATCTTCATTTATTTAGCGCTTTTAACAATGTAGATATTTCCAAAGCTGCTTTACAGTGATAATAGGAAATTACAGTAACAGAGACTCTTTTGGCTTTATGACAGCTCTAGGATAAAGTTATTGTCCTGCTAAAGTGAGTTTTGATTGATTCACTTCCAACACTAATGATTAATAACTAATGATTAGTTATTATAGGGGCCGCTAACATGACATCATTCTAACAGAAAACCCTTAAGTTCACTCTACTCAAACTTTAAAAACCCAAACCTGTGTATTAAAAAAGTAGTTCACTTTTAAAAAAACTTTTCCTGATAATTTACTCGTCCCCATGTCATCCAAGATATCCACGTCTTTCTTTCTTCAGTCGAAAAGAAATTAAGGTTTTTGATGAAAACATTCCAGGATTTTTCTGAATATAATGGACTATAACGGTTCAAGGTCCAAATGAGAGTTTCAGATGCAGCTTCAAAGGGCTTTAAACGACACCAGACGATGAATAAGGGTCTTATCAAGCGAAACAATCAGTCATTTCAAAAATAAATAACAAAGTTTAAGTTTTATAAGCTCAAATGCTCACCTTAATCTGTTCGTGACTCTCCTGTTCGAACTCAAAATGAACAAATCTTTTTTCGAGTCATTTGGTTCATTCAACGAACAAAATGATCGAAATGACTCAAAAAAAGATTCGTTCATTTTGATGAACGAGTTCGAACAGGAGAGTCACGAACGGGCACATGGCAGAGTGCCACTTTCACAAACTCATCCTACATCCTTCTGACGCACCATCATTATTAAAGGCAATGCTTTGTGAGGCTCTCGGATGACATAACTTTAGCATATAAGCTCCTAAAGACTCTTATTCTGCATTTAATCATCTATACACAAAGCCTAAGCTTACTTAACATTTGAACACTGCTCTTCTGCTGCTGTAGTGTGTCCGTAGTTTCTCCACAGATTTCTTCACTGTCTGCGAGAAGATAAATGATTTCCAGAAGATCTCTGATCCTAACATGGCCCTCCAGTGGGACCTGCACAACATACGAACCGCTCTGCCTTTCTATTCATCCGCAGTGGGTAAGTAAATCTGAATAAGCAGTGACATATGTAGGCTTCATTATATTAGCACATATCCCTCTTAAAGTGTGTAGTTCAGATGTGAGTGTCCTCCAGACAGATCTCAGCAGCATGTGTTGGAGATTTCCTGAGACAGTGGGTAATTGTACTCTGGGTAAATGTGTCCTGCTGTTCAATGCCACTGAACACAGGGTGAATCTGATAGATGATCGAAATCGATTTCAGCTTTGAAGTCGGTACAGAAACCCCGTCTCTCACACACATACTGTGTTGGCATTTAGCAATGGGAGATCAACTTCAAAAATGCTGCTCTATTTATGTTGGCTTGAGAATGCCAACTAACGCACTATACACAGTGCATATGTACATAATGTATAAATGCATAATGGGTTCAATCGTGATGCATTCATTTCTGTAAGGTTATTATAGTGTCTAAAGCCCCTCTGCAATATTTTTTTTTCAATTATCATCCTCGTATTTGAAAAAGTGCACTTTTACTTTTTGGAGTTTTCATCCATCCATATTTATACTACAAAACAGAATAGTGCATAAGTATGTAAATTGGGATGCACCTAAGTGTTAAATCATGAAAGTATTAGACATTCTCCATTAAAGTAGATTCAACACAGATTATTGAAACATATTACAATTTTTTGTAATCATGCTAGCAACATATTTAATCTATCCATCCATACCTTCAAAATCCATCATCCATCCATCAAAACCTTCAACATCCATCCATCCATACATGCATCCATACATCAAAACCTTCAACATCCATCCATCCATCAAAACCTTCAAAATCCATCCATCCATCAAAACCTTCCAAATCCATACATCCATAAATCCATACATACATACATAAAAACCTTCAAAATCCATCCATCCATCCATCAAAACCTTCAAAATCCATCCATCCATTCATCAAAACCTTCCAAAATCAATCAATCCATCCATCCATCAAAACCTTCAAAATCCATCCATTAAAACCTTCAAAATCCATCCATCCATCAAAACCTTCAAAATCCATCCATCCATCAAAATCTTCAAAATCAATCCATCCATCAAAACCTTCAAAATCCATCATCCATCCATCCATCAAAATCAATCCATCCATCCATCCATCCATCCATCCATCCATCCATCCATCAAAACCTTCAAAATCCATCCATCCATCAAAACCTTCCAAATCCATACATCCATAAATCCATACATACATACATAAAAACCTTCAAAATCCATACATCCATCCATCAAAACCTTCAAAATCAATAAATTCATCCATCCATCAAAATCTTCAAAATCCATCCATCCATCCATCCATCAAAACCTTCAAAATCCATCATCCATCCATCCATCAAAACCTTCCAAATCCATACATCCATAAATCCATACATCCATCCATCAAAACCTTCAAAAATCCATCCATCAAAACCTTCAAAATCGATCAATCCATCCATCCATCAAAACCTTCAAAATTCATTCATCCATCCATCAAAACCTTCAAAATCCATTCATCCATCCATCAAAACCTTCAAAATCCATCATCCATCCATCCATCCATCAAAACCTTCCAAATCCATACATCCATACATACAAACATAAAAACCTTCAAAATCCATCCATCCATCCATCAAAACCTTCAAAATCCATCATCCAACCTTCCAAATCCATACATCCATAAATCCATACATCCATACATACATAAAAACCTTCAAAATCCATCCATCCATCAAAACCTTCAAAATCCATCCATTAAAACCTTCAAAATCCATCCATCCATCAAAACCTTCAAAATCCATCCATCCATCAAAATCTTCAAAATCAATCCATCCATCAAAACCTTCAAAATCCATCATCCATCCATCCATCAAAATCAATCCATCCATCCATCCATCCATCCATCAAAACCTTCAAAATCCATCCATCCATCAAAACCTTCCAAATCCATACATCCATAAATCCATACATACATACATAAAAACCTTCAAAATCCATACATCCATCCATCAAAACCTTCAAAATCAATAAATTCATCCATCCATCAAAATCTTCAAAATCCATCCATCCATCCATCCATCAAACCTTCAAAATCCATCATCCATCCATCCATCAAAACCTTCCAAATCCATACATCCATAAATCCATACATCCATCCATCAAAACCTTCAAAATCCATCCATCAAAACCTTCAAAATCGATCAATCCATCCATCCATCAAAACCTTCAAAATTCATTCATCCATCCATCAAAACCTTCAAAATCCATTCATCCATCCATCAAAACCTTCAAAATCCATCATCCATCCATCCATCCATCAAAACCTTCCAAATCCATACATCCATACATACAAACATAAAAACCTTCAAAATCCATCCATCCATCCATCAAAACCTTCAAAATCCATCATCCAACCTTCCAAATCCATACATCCATAAATCCATACATCCATACATACATAAAAACCTTCAAAATCCATCCATCCATCAAAACCTTCAAAATCCATTCATCCATCCATCAAAACCTTCAAAATCCATCCATCCATCAAAATCTTCATAATCAATCCATCCATCCATCCATCAAAACCTTCCAAATCCATCCATCCATCCATCCATCAAACCTTCCAAATCCATACATCCATAAATACATACATACATACATACATACATAAAAACCTTCCAAATCCATCCATCCATCCATCCATCAAAACCTTCAAAATCAATAAATCCATCCATCCATCAAAACCTTCAAAATCCATCATCCATCCATCAAAACCTTCCAAATCCATACATCCATAAATCCATCCATCCATACATGCATACATAAAAACCTTCAAAATCCATCCATCCATCAAAACCTTCAAAATCAATCCATCATTCATCAAAACCTTCAAAATCCATCATCCATCCATCAAAACCTTCAAAATCAATCCATCCATCAAAACCTTCAAAATCCAGCCATCCATCCATCCATCAAAACCTTCCAAATCCATACATCCATAAATCCATACATCAATCCATCAAAACCTTCAAAATCCATCCATCAAACCCTTCAAAATCCATTCATCCATCCATCAAAACCTTCAAAATCTTCAAAATCCATCCATCCATCTATCAAAACCTTCAAAATCCATCATCCATCCATCCATACATCCATCCATCAAAACCTTCCAAATCCATACATCCATAAATCCATACATGCATACATAAAAACCTTCAAAATCCATCCATCCATCCATCAAAACCTTCAAAATCCATCCATCCATCAAAATCTTCAAAATCCAACCATCCATCCATCAAAACCTTCCAAATCCATACATCCATAAATCCATACATACATACATAAAAACCTTCAAAATCCATCCATCCATCCATCCATCAAAACCTTCAAAATCCATCCATCCATCCATCCATCAAAACCTTCCAAATCCATACATCCATAAATCCATACATACATACATAAAAACCTTCAAAAATTCATCCATCCATCCATCAAAACCTTCAAAATCCATCCATCCATCCATCCATCAAAACCTTCAAAATCCATCCATCCATCCATCCATCAAAACCTTCCAAATCCATACATCCATAAATCCATACATCCATACATGCATACATAAAAACCTTCAAAATCCATCATCCATCCATCCATCAAAACCTTCCAAATCCATACATCCATAAATCCATAAATGCATACATAAAAACCTTCAAAATCCATTCATCCATCCATCAAAACCTTCAAAATCCATCCATCCATCAAAATCTTCAACATCCATCAATCCATCCATCAAAACCTTCAAAATCCATCATCCATCCATCCATCCATCAAAATCTTCAAAATCCAACCATCCATCCATCAAAACCTTCCAAATCCATACATCCATAAATCCATACATACATACATAAAAACCTTCAAAATCCATCCATCCATCCATCCATCAAAACCTTCAAAATCCATCCATCCATCCATCCATCAAAACCTTCCAAATCCATACATCCATAAATCCATACATACATACATAAAAACCTTCAAAAATTCATCCATCCATCCATCAAAACCTTCAAAATCCATCCATCCATCCATCAAAACCTTCAAAATCCATCCATCCATCCATCCATCAAAACCTTCCAAATCCATACATCCATAAATCCATACATCCATACATGCATACATAAAAACCTTCAAAATCCATCATCCATCCATCCATCAAAACCTTCCAAATCCATACATCCATAAATCCATAAATGCATACATAAAAACCTTCAAAATCCATTCATCCATCCATCAAAACCTTCAAAATCCATCCATCCATCAAAATCTTCAACATCCATCAATCCATCCATCAAAACCTTCAAAATCCATCATCCATCCATCCATCCATCAAAACCTTCCAAATCCATACATCCATAAATCCATACATACATACATAAAAAACCTTTAAAATCCATCCATCCATCAAAACCTTCAAAATCCATCCATCCATCAAAATCTTCATAATCAATCCATCCATCCATCAAAACCTTCCAAATCCATACATCCATCCATCAAAACCTTCAAAATCCATCCATCCATCAAAACCTTCAAAATCCATCCATCCATCAAAACCTTCAAAATCCATCCATCAAAACCTTCAAAATCCATCCATCCATCCATCAAAACCTTCAAAATCCATCCATTCATCCATCAAAACCTTCAAAATCCATTCATTCATCCATCCATCAAAACCTTCAAAATCCATTCATTCATCCATCCATCAAAACCTTCAAAATCCATTCATCCATCCATCAAAACCTTCAAAATCCATCCATCCATCAAAATCTTCAAAATCCATCCATCCATCCATCAAAACCTTCCAAATCCATACATCCATAAATGCATACATAAAAACCTTCAAAATCCATTCATCCATCCATCAAAACCTTCAAAATCCATCCATCCATCAAAATCTTCAACATCCATCAATCCATCCATCAAAACCTTCAAAATCCATCATCCATCCATCCATCCATCAAAACCTTCCAAATCCATACATCCATAAATCCATACATACATACATAAAAACCTTTAAAATCCATCCATCCATAAAAACCTTCAAACTCCATTCATCCATCCATCAAAACCTTCAAAATCCATCCATCCATCAAAATCTTCATAATCAATCCATCCATCCATCAAAACCTTCCAAATCCATACATCCATCCATCAAAACCTTCAAAATCCATCCATCCATCAAAACCTTCAAAATCCATCCATCCATCAAAACCTTCAAAATCCATCCATCAAAACCTTCAAAATCCATCCATCCATCCATCAAAACCTTCAAAATCCATCCATTCATCCATCAAAACCTTCAAAATCCATTCATTCATCCATCCATCAAAACCTTCAAAATCCATTCATTCATCCATCCATCAAAACCTTCAAAATCCATTCATCCATCCATCAAAACCTTCAAAATCCATCCATCCATCAAAATCTTCAAAATCCATCCATCCATCCATCAAAACCTTCCAAATCCATACATCCATACATGCATACATAAAAACTTTCAAAATCCATCCATCCATCAAAATCTTCAAAATCCATTCATCCATCCATCAAAACCTTCAAAATCCATCCATCCATCAAAATCTTCATAATCAATCCATCCATCCATCCATCCATCCATCAAAACCTTCCAAATCCATACGTCCATTCATCCATCAAAACCTTCAAGATCCATCCATCCATCCATCCATCAAAACTTTCAAAATCCATTCATCCATCAAAACCTTCAAAATCCATCCATCCATCCAATTTAAAGTTAAAATTTCATCCAATTAAAGTTAAAATTTGAAGTAAAGCTCAAGCTTTACTTCAAACTTTCTGGCTTGACTTAATCAAGCCAACCTAGAAGTTTGTCTACAAACTTATCTATCTAGTTTGGTTTAGAGTCAGTAAATATACAGTTGTATAGTCGGTAACCCTCAAGGTAACCAGAAGGTAACTGGTCAATTCCCTGCAAGGAACGAGCCATGACCCGTAAGCATTTATCAAGACGGTTAACCTGAGGCAAGTCTGTAAGTCACTTTGGTTAAAAGCGTCTACTGAATGTTTGCTTACTGAAGCATGTATGCCACTCACAATAATAAAAAGCAAAAGCATTGCATTGCATGCATGCAACCCTCCAGGTATGTTATTATTTTGTTTTATTTTGAATTAATTAGCATTGACCATGCATGTATTTAGATACATTCAAAACCCAAAACATTCATTAACAAATAATATTATCCCACAACATATCATCAAAATCCTATCATTGATATAATAATGACTCCTCATAGATTAGAAATGTTTCCTCCTCAGTGTCTGTTGGTGGTTCTGCCCACACAGAAAACAACCATTATTTTTCCATTAGTGGCTAAACCAGAACAAAACTAATTACTGTACAGCTCTAATTCACTCACTTCTCATTTCCTCTCTGGTCACTTATTGGTTTTTCTTCAAGTTTTTCATGAGATTACAGCCTTTTCCTTTCCCGTTGGTGCATTCGTATTCCTCCGTTTTGCATTGTGTTTTTGTAAAATACCGGAATCACAAGCAGAAAGAAAATACTGTGAGATGATCACATCTGCTGAACGTTTCACTGCCAAATCATCTTCAATCAGTGATGCCGGTAACGCGTTACTAAGTAACGCGTTATTCTAATTTGACCCCTTTTTTCAGTAACGAGTAATATAACGCGTTACTATTTCGAAACCAGTAATCAGATTAAAGTTACTTATCCAGGTCACTGTGCGTTACTATTTTTGTAATTTTTTCCTTAGTAAATACATATATTTATTTCTTCTTGCATCTCGGGGAGTGTGCGCGACAAGTCACGTTTTCAGCATGAGGTTCATGTCACGTGTACCACGCACGCAGCGACACAAATGTAAACAACGTTGGAGGGAGGAGAGAGATGCGCTTTTTCTAGCTGGAAATACAGTCACTATTTTGAGTTTGTCTCGGCTAAAGACGGCAACATTAAGGTCCGTTGTAAACTGCTGGCGGTGACAAAGTGTTATCTACCTACAGAAACACTTCGTCAAATTTGAAAAAAAAAAAAAAACATTTGGATTCGCAGCACCGCACAGCCAAACTTACAGAGCAAGTCACGCCAGGTGATGCGAAGTAGAGAGCAGGTTCCCCACCACAAAAGCAAAAGCTGGACTTCGTTGCAAAACCAGTAAGTTGGGGGAGTTGAAGAAGTTGGTCGGGCAGTTTGTTGTGGAGGAAATGCTGCGATTAAACACGGTCGCCTTCGTTTCAACCCGAGAGGTTTCGAGAAGCTTCTGTTAATGATGTAGCACTGGTTTTACTCGCCTCTCTCATTAACTCATAACATGGGATTAACATAAGATAAAAAATAAAGATAAAAAATAAAAAATGCAGATTATAAATAGTAAGTTTTGTCACAGTGTTAACTGTTAAATATGTCAGGTCAAGAATAGTCTATATTTTAAATTTTTATAAAGACAAGTATTTATGTTAAGTGAAGACAAGAAAGGCTGTCTTTATTTTATTTTTTATAAAAACAAGTATTTATGTTAAGTGAGGTGAAGAAAGACTTAAGTTAAGTCAAGAAAGACTTTTTTTTTTTTTTTTTTTTGTAAAACATGTTTTTTTCAGGAAATAGTTTTTAAGCTAAACTTTCAATGACAGGAGATAGATTGTTGATGTTACTATTAAAAATACACTTCCAATAAAATGAATGTTGGCAAAACCGGTTATAATTTTTATGTTGACGTCGTGTGTTTTTTTTATGTTGAGGTCGTTATGTTGATGGTGTGTTGTCGGCAACTGCTGAATGTAACTAATAAAAGTAACTTGTAAGTAACTTAGTTACTTTTAAAATCAAGTAACTTGTAAAGTAACTTAGTTACTTTAAAAATCAAGTAACTTGTAAAATAACTTAGTTACTTTTTCAAAGTAACTGTGGCAACACTGTCTTCAATGTAAGCATTCAAGATAACTTGACCAAAGCTACTTGTAGCCCTCAAACTGTATTCACTTTATAGCCCTTAATCCTGTGGGCACAGAGGACTCAGGTGTGATCCTAATTTTTATTTATTATAAATGTTATATCACTGTCTTCGATAAAGTTTTGTCTTTCCATTTATGGTGCTTTTTTTTATTTTGGGTGTATTTTTGAATTTATTTACTTCAAAAAGTACCATATTTTCTATATAAATTATGCTTATTTTTATGTTTTATTTTTTTATTTTTTAACTACATTAAAATATCATTCCAATAAGTTCTTAGTGCTAAACCTAAAGATGAAGTGACTTTGCCGTCACCTGGTGTCTTATTTTTGCTTATTTTCGAATGCTCTAAATTACAGTTTTTCCCTATTCATTTCTATGGGTGCCCATTTTTGACCCAAATACAAGATTAAGGAGTTGTTGTTTTTCACCCACTTAACATTGTAGAATTGAGTCACACAAAAAATTTGTATGTTCAGGAGGCAAACTTAGGAAAAGTAGCCAAGTCTTGTCTCACTCAAATCAAGGGAAGTATTTTTTTTTAAATAAATCAAAACAATTTTGCCCACATTTGTCCAGAATACGGTTTTAGGGTTAACTGCAATCTGATTTCTAAAAAAATACAACTGTTGAATTTTGTGACTTTTGAAGTCGTACATCATTTTGATGTGTTTTGAGCAGTAAATGTTGGAAATAATTTATTTTTCACAAATACAGCTTTATCATTTCCCCCCAGTCATAAACATCTAGCCATTTGTTGAATATTGCACATTTTCACATAGAGAAAAAGCAAGTATTGGACAATTTATAGCACATTGCAATGTAGCAAGCATCCAAAAATAAAGCACTTGAATGTGACTTAAGAAGGCTGCAAAAGACTGGATGAGTTTCATCTGTGTAAACACATTACTGCACATCGCTGCGTGCCATTCATCATCGGTTCAAGCTAATATAAGCTTATAAAACAGCATGACACAGGTGAAGGATATTACAGTGAAACAAGGTACTGTATTCCAGCTGAGCATTAATTCCTCTGTGAAATGAGGAATAGGAAGGATGACTGAAGATTGGGCCATTTATCTTTATGTTGTTGTACAGTTGCATTGGTTCCTGCAGCAACAAAAAAAGATTTTCATATAAGATGCAGGCACAGAGAACATACTATGCGAAGCAATTTACAGTACACTAACGCTAGGAATAATGTCCAATGTTGTCTTGATCAGCATCATTGTATCAGTAACTGGTTGCAGTGCATTAGGAAACTCACATGCTGATGAAATATGAACCTTGAATAAATGTAATCACATTAGTATAGAAGTACAGTTCCTCCCAAAATAAAAAAATCTTGTCATTTATTTAACATTTCATAGAATAAAGAAAATATACATGGTTAGTGGTTGTAATCAGGCCTTTCGTCCAGTCAATTCCTCATGTCCAGACGACAAACAAACACATAATGACCTCCTCCCCCTTCCGCTGCTAACAGTGTTCTGTGGTGTTCGAGCCAATGCTAACAGCTAATTTGTTTTCTTTACTGTTTTAACAGGAAACTCATCTCATCCTACGCAGAGGAAGGTTAGAGACCTCTCTATGGCAAACAAACGCACAGGCTCTGGGAACGCTCCGGTTTAGCTGTCAAAAAACAGCCAAGCAAACAAAAATGCTAATGAATCAGTCAGCTTTGAGCACAGGCCAGTGCTCCGGACATCTCCAGCTGCATGAAGGTAAATAAACCAAATCTCAGCGCTAAAGCAGCGTTCAGGAGGAGGAAGAAACAATCACGAAGAACAACGATTAGGAAAGCTGTAGCATATGAACACATCAAATATAATGATTAGAAAATGATCAATTACTCAAGAAACATTACAATGTTTTTTGCATGTGCTAAATTTCATTTGGGAAATCATCTTTGAACTGAAAGAAAGAAAAGGAAAGTTAGCACATGCAAAAATATTGTAGTGCTGTTTGATACCCAGCATGCTTTGTGGCCAGATGCGTTCTGATCAGGTTTGTGTGGAATTACTTAAAGAGACTGGGAGTTATGTGAAACGAATTTGTAAATCAGGTCACATGTTGTGTAGAATGTAATGTGTGTGTGTGTAATGTTTCCATTGTTGAGCTGTTCAGTCACAGATATTTAGTTCCAGTCTGCTGCCAATCTTTACTAATTGTTTCCAGCTGTTTTGTTCTTAGTGTATTGTTTGCAACAATGACATCATCAAAAAAAATCACTTATGTTGAAAGTATGAATAAATGTATGTGTGTTCAAGTTCAATTATTTATATAGCACATTTAAACAGCCGCTTAGACAGACCAAAGTGCTTTACAGAACACACAAATAAGAAAAGTAAAAACGGCAAGAAAAAAAAAGCATATAACACATAAAAAGCAGCAAAGCTACGAGTAGCCTCGTATTGAAAAACAGACGAGCAGAAAAACCTACAACTACAACACGACAGCCTTAGATGAAATCAACTACGGATAAAAGATGTTAAATCTCAAGATCTGATTAAATAACTTTTATTACAAGGGATTATTTTAGTCCCAGACTAAAATGCATGCTTAAAATATGTCATTGTTTTGACTCAAGATACACAGCACCTTTTCTAATGCACATTTATAAAAGCAACTTAAATGTCCAATTGAACTTAGGCTTGTCTTGTTTGTTCATTCATTCTCACACAGGACCAGTGAATATATCAATGTTTCCCAAAATCCTCTGGTGCAGTCCGTCTTCAGCGTCTCTAAATGATGCAGGTCACTTCTTCAAACATGACAGATCTGGATCTTCACCTCCTACTGTCTGTGCATATTACTTTATTTTATTTTTTATCTCTGCTGTCTAGCTTTGCCTCTAAAGAACACACTTCGCTGGTTGTAAAGTATTGCATTGCCCGTGATCCACTGTATAGTCTGGTATTGAGATGCAGTGTTTTTGCCAAGAGTGATGAGTGCATGGAAAACATTAACATTCTCATTTAATAGCAAGGCAAAACAGAAGTAACCACAGCAAAGAAAATCTCTTTAATACCACCCTTATGTCTCCTAGATGACAATGAGATTCAACCACAAGCTAATGGAGATGTTCTCCTGATTAAAAAAACAAAACACACATCTCTAGAGTTTCAAAAGCGATGCTAATGTCTCAAACACAGTGGAATTTTCAGAGAAACATCTGAGTCATACTGGTAAATAAGACAACGTTGCATTCGCATGTATTCTTATCTCTTTCCGCGCCGGCGTTTTTTAATAAGTTGCCAGCCATCACTAGCATCTCTGATTTTCACAAAACTTTCATAGTCCCCAGAATATTTTGTTTTATGCATATCTGAACATGCAATATATCAAAGGAATGAAAATGGAGCCTCTGCTTAAAAAACAAACAAAAGCAAACAAAAAAATTATTCTATCTTCATGCATTTTGCATTGCTTTTTTTAACTACACTTAAATGTGGGTAAGTTTCATTAAAAAGCAACTTTTTGAACATAAAAATCACGTTCACAAGGCAAAGTCACAATGATCAAATGATGGAGTAGATCGAGTCCAACACCCCTAAAGCTTCACAGTCTTGTCTCGTGCTGGGTCGACATTTCATTCAGTAACGTTAGACAGTTTTGATTTCTATGCTTTAATCACTTGTTTCTGCTTCTTCTTCTCCTGTTTTTGATCCAGAGATTCTGTACTCGTTCAGGAGGTGAGTAACAGCGCCCCCTACCGTCTAACAGTGAAAACATGGATTGCCAGAAAATACAGTCAATGGTGAGGCTACAAGCCAAGTGAAAAAAGTGCATTCAAGATGTCAATTTTAAATATATTTCTATCCATTTATTTAAAAAATAGTTCTAAGTAGCCCTCAATCGGGTCATGGGGTCTATACGACCCCAATCGACTTTTACTTAATAAAAAAAAAGGTTCCCTTCATCTCAGTGGAATAAGATTTTGTGACTTTTCATACATTATCTATCTATACACACAAAGAAACTGGGCTTGATTCGGTTGTTCTGAAGGCATGTAAAAAAATGTTTACACTTCTGGTCTTCGGGGTCATTATGACCCCACATTGAAATGAATGGGAAATGTTAAAAAAACTAAATATATTTTCTTCATGTGTCTGGCATAAATCTGAAATTTTGTACACAGAAATGAAGGCCTAGTACTAGAGCATAAATGCAATGTATCATAAAAAAATAATATTTCATATGCAAGCTAATGGTGTAGTTGAGGAATTGTGTGGTATATGGATACAAAAGTACTTTGTATCTCCAAAAACACAGCATTAATGAATAGATGAGAAGTAAACAAAAAAAAGATATATTATTTGTATGATTAAAAATGTATATTTTTTGTACAATTACTCAATCAATTGTTGGGGTCGTATAGACCCCGAAGCCAAGGTTTAAAAACATTTTGAATTCTGACTACTTCACCCATTATTTTTGTTTTTTGGAAAATTGCATCATTAGCTTATAACAACATGCTTTCGCCTGTTGACAGAATGGCAGCTCAGCAGGTTTTGTAATAGAGATTTATTTCAAGCATTAATCAATAGGTTGATTTGATTGAAAGATACAGAATGAGACAAATAAACGTTGTGCAGTGACTTCGCCAAAACCCATCATATCCGTTACCTCAGTTACCCATCATTCACTAACAAGCTCATATACTTTGGCACTGTGTCATGGGAAGAAAATGAAGCTCTTTGAAAAGCCGTCCTCCAGCAGTCGTGAAGTATGACACCATACAGCATAACACAATTAAATATGGATTACTGAGCCTCTGGTCTAATTACCAACAAACACACAGCTATTTTTACTGTTTGGAGGGAAGCCCAAATATGAGTAATCATCTTGAGCGGTGCAGAACTGATGTGATGCTAAGCCACGGCAAGAATTTACTAATAAGACTGCCTGGAAGGATTCATAGCCACATGAAATGCGAAACAGTGCCAACTATGTTGGGTATGAAGGTTATAAGTCCTCATATAATCATGATGCAGGTACAATACAGGAACAGTTTGCCCATCAAATTAAAGCTTTGTTATTTCACTCAAAAAATAAACCTTGGGCATTGAAAAGTCTTTAACCCCCTCAGACCTGAATTATGTTTCAAGTTTCTGAAAAATATAAAAGTACATTTTCCCAGCTCATGAGGCTTCTATAAATGAAAACATAATTGCATAATTGCTTTCATTGTGATTTTTTTTTTTTTTTTTTTTTTTTGTCCATTCCAATGGACATCAGGTCAAAACAGATGTACTTCCCAAAAATGTACCAACATGAAATAAATTAATAAACATAAAATTTGTTGCTCTATACTTTAAGCTTTTTCTCAAGGTCAAAAAAATTCCAGCAGTATACCATTTCAACTATAATTTTGAGGTTTTTGTTTTACAGATTGCACATTGATATTGAGATATTTATAGTGGGATAAATGCTACGTGGGATCTCAATATCTCAGCTCTGGAAGGGTCTAGAGCCTCCTTTTTTGCACTCAGGTCTAAGTCTCATGGCCCTCTATCAGAATCCAGACTTTCAAGACGATCAGAGAAACTCAAAATTTCGACCCCCCCAAAAAAAACGTAAGGGGTAACACTGTCGTTTTTTTTGGGGGTGCGAAAAAATAAGTTTCTCGAATCCTCCTGAAACTCTGGATTCTGATAGAGGGCCATGGGACTTACACCTGAGTGCAAAAATGGAGGCTCTAGACCCTTCCAGAGCTGAGATATTGAGATCCCACGTAGCATTCATCCCACTATAAATATCTCAATATCTCAGCTCTGGAAGGGTCTAGAACCTCCATTTTTGCACTCAGGTGTAAGTCTCATGGCCCTCTATCAGAATCCAGAGTTTCAAGAAGATTGGGGATACTTAATTTTTCGCCCAAAATAAAAAAACGTAAGGGGTAACACTGTCGTTTTTTTTCTGGTCGAAATTTTGAGTTTCGATATCTCAGATCTGGAAGGGGCTAGAGCCTCCAATGTTGCACTCAGGTCTAAGTCTCATGGCCCTCTATCAGAATCCAGAGTTTCAAGAAGATTGGGGATACTTAATTTTTCGGCCAAAATAAAAAAAACGTAAGGGGTAACACTGTCGTTTTTTTCTGGTCGAAATTTTGAGTTTCGTTATCTCAGCTCTGGAAGGGTTTAGAGCCTCCATTTTTGCACTCAGGTCTAAGTCTCATGGCCCTCTATCAGAATCCAGAGTTTTGAGAAGATTGGAGAACCTTAATTTTTCGCCCGAAAAAAAAAACGAAAGGGGTACCACTGTTGTTGTTTTTTTTCGGGTCGAATTTTTGAGTTTCGATATCTAACCTCTGGAAGGGTCTAGAGCCTCCATTTTTGCACTCAGGTCTAAGTCTCACGGCCCTCTATCAGAATCCAGAGTTTCAAGAAGATCAGAGAAACTCAAAATTTCGCCCCCCCCCCCCCCCCAAAAAAAAAAAACCCGAAAGGGGTAACATTGTCGTTTTTTTCGGAGGGTCGAAATTTTGAGTTTCTCTGATCTTCTTGAAACTCTGGATTCCTATAGAGGACCATGAGATTTAGACCTGAGTGCAAAAATGGAGGCTCTAGACCCTTCCTGAGCTGAGATATTGCAATCCCACATAGCATTTATGCCATTATAAAAATACTGGGTTCGTGGACGGTGGAATTTTGGAATGGCGCTTTGTACCACAGACTCAGCTTTGATTTAAGTTATGTTTTAAACCCTACTGATGTGACCAACAGTGTTATTCTTAAAACAATTTTTTTATTAAGAAACCCCAAAATCGTCATCTCTTGATATGTTGATAATTTCTTTATTTTATACCCAAAAAGTTTCTCCTTTATGTTTTCCTCTTTTTCTTGATGAATTTACCTCGTTTCATCGCTCAGATTTTTTTATGTATTATGAAATATTATTGTGAAGAAATTTAGCCTTGTTATTGTTTTCTAGTGTATAAATATAATTTTATAATGTCATATTATGATGTACACAAACCAATGATCTTTATATTTTCTGTTTTCTCATTATGATTGTTGTATAGTATGGTATTGTTCCATGATTTTCTATGTAATAAGTTTATATTATATGAGCAGAGCAACAGGTGCACTAACACTTCATAACATCAGTAATTCGACAGCACAACCTAGAACAGTTTTCCTCTGCGTTTGCAATGTCTGCACAAAGGAGACGGGCAGAGATCTCTTTTGGAGAAAACTGTTGATTTTATACTAAAAATAACAAAATAATAATATTAAATGCTGACCAATGCTTAATTATGTAACTTTTTATATACAAAAAATATAATTTAATATAACAAGCAAAATGTAATTTGTTTTGTCATATGACATAAGTTATGCATGAATACATTTATCTTTCTAAATGCAGTAAAACATCTCAATTGTCAGTCAATCGATGAATTAATGCATACATTAATTAAATAATTACAGTATATTTTATATATGGACAACAATAAGAAACATGAATAAATGAGTAAAAGAACAAATAAAGTAACCAGCACAATAAACAAATGCATATACACGTTCAACAACACATGAAACAAAGCTTTATTCAAACTACAAGCATGTATTTACAGGCGCTGAACCCAAAACCCTACTGCCATCTCAACTCAGCGGTTCCCATTCTGCGGCTTTATTCTGCTGAATTCACCACAAGTGACTGTGCCTTCGTGCCGGAGCTTGTTGCTGCACTGCGCTTCACAAACTGAGGCAATAAGGGCAGGTGGAGAGATGGAGAGTCTCGTAAGGGCAGATGGAGAGATGGAGGGATTCAACCATGGCACCACTTCCAGGATTCAGCTCTGGGCTCCTCAGTGCTCACACCAGTCTGCAGACATTTCAGATCCTGCAAAAATGCACAAACATTACACAAAAGCAGTCATTTTAACATCACAATGTCCTTTGATTTATGTGTTAAAAATAACCTTACTTTATATTTGAGTAAAATCCCTAAAAACTTTTTTCCCCCCAAACAAACGCTGCATCATCTTTCCTTGCAGGTCCTGCTCCACCACAAAAGCTCTGCAGCAAATGCACAGAAATCATGACTCAGAAAAGTGTTGTAATTTCTCTGTTTGATATTACAATAATTCAAATGAACTACAACTTAAGATTTAATAGATTTTGTTATCCATTTCTGTAGTATACTCACTCAAAGCCTTTGATGACAGCATTCAGCATCATGAGCCCCTCTTCGCCGGATAAACACATGCGTGTTCTTCTGTCCCTGTAACATACAGACAGATTCACATTACTTCTGTGATTTATGAGCTCAACACTGCATTTACATGCTGAGGTTGATGTGTTAAGTCACTTTTTATCCATCTTAAATGTTCCTCAAATTATC